GTGCCTGTGGGTGCTCATTGTGTGGCAGCTGCTGAGCTTTCTGCACAATCCTTCCTTTCTCCAGGGACCCACCAGGAAATGCTTAAAGATCATGTGGATCCTTGCAGGTCTAATCGCCATTTGTGAGCTGTTCCTTCCTCGTGCTGGCTGTGCTGAGGCTCCCCTCCCCAGCCCGTATCCCAGAGCCGGTCCCTGTCCTGCCGCAGTGTCCAAAGGCGGCCCCCCCGGCGGGCAGGGCCGGCAGCTCCACGGGGCCGGGCAGCGGCCGGGGCGTCCCGCAGCCTCCTGGGGGCCGGGGGCCACTGCCGGCCCTGCCCGGGGGGTGCTGGGCTCAGGCAGCGCCCGGCGCTGAGCCCCGGCTGCCCCACAGCCCCGGCCCGGCCCCACAGCTCCCCACAGGCCCCCAGCCCGTGCTCCCGGTGCCGCAGCTCTGCGCCCGCTCCTGCCGCTCCCAGCTCAGAGAAACCCCCTGAAATCCTCACCTCCTTGTTTTCCTCTCCTGGAATCTAGAGGTACAGAAGATCTGGATCAGCTGGTGTGGTGGTTTTAGCACTAGCTAAAAATCACTAGAACACTTATTCGTTTCTTGCTGTGAGTTATGGATTAGCAGAAGGGCAAAACAGGCTTAAAATTTAAAAGGAATAAAGAAATTTTATTCCTAGAACTACAAAAATAAGAAACCAGAATAAAACCTCCAGACACGTTTTCTTCCCATCCCACCTTTTTCCTTGTCCAGCAGATAACATAGAGACAAAACCTGGTGGTTAAAACAGTCCTAACTATACAATAGTCATTTCATCCGTCTTTGTAGAGAGAGTTCTCTCTTGTCATTCCATGGAGAGTTTTCCACAGGAAAAACAGTTTCTTGTGGCTTTTCATTTCTCATGACTGGCAGCTGCCCGGAAAAAACTCTGCCATCATGCCCTCTTCCCATTTCACACCAATTAGAGGTGCGTTCATGGGCCATGAACTCAAGGAGTATTATTTTAAGGATGAGTTATTCAAAGGCAAAGGTTCTCTTCATCTGTCTCTGTGATTATCTCTGGGAACAGAGGTTTTCTCTTTTTCTTCCTGGGTGCCCAAGTATCTCCATCGACTCTCACTTTTCATGCTCTGTTCCAGCATCTCATGGGATCACAACTACCCTACCATCTGCTTAGTTCATCAGTGGATACCTTTGCTCAGATTTCATGGTTTGAATAGTTCATTCCACCTTATACTCTTTTCATGAATTAAAGGAGTTATTCAGAAACATTGTTCATCTCCATGGCCTTACCAAAAGAGTATTTTAGCTTATTAAAGCATGTCCTCATTCTCCTTCCATCTGAGGCTTGATTCCTTCCTTCACTGAATTTGATGGTTTATGTTGTCTCTTTACATGATGATCACTCTCCCTTTCCTCTCTCTGGAAAAGGATTAAATCTGCAGGTCTCATCTGGGTAGTGAAAGGGTTTAAATCTGGCCCAAGTCTTGTGGATGATCACGGGCAGCGGCTGGGGCTGTTTTTGATGGGTGATTTTTCAGTGGCTGTGCTGGGGGAGGGTGGTCAGCATCTCAGCACGCTGCAGGCCGATGGCTTCCCCTCCCCATACTCGGCAGTTTCTGGTGAAATCCAGCGGCAGCAGAAATTTCAGCTGAGCCAGGGACCGGCCTGGCCTGGCAGTGCTGCTGTTCAGGGCTCGGCGGGCTTCCCGAGGGGCTCAGCCACTCTGGGAAAGGGCTCCTGCCAGTCTCCATCCCCTTCCCGGGAGCTGCTGGGCTCTGGCCCCACGCCCCCACCCCGAGTCCGTACAGGCTGTGGGGAAAGCGGGGGCGGGGGGGGGCCGGCTGCACCAGAGCTCTGTTACGTTTTAAAGCCGGAAACACAAAAGACACAAAAGCTCCTGGCTTTAGGGTTAAAAGGTGGTATTCACAAAGGTAATCTCACTTTTCAGTGGTCAAACATACTGTCAATTCTCAGAACTGGCCAGCTATTGGCCAGGTCTCAGGCAGAGAAGAAACTCCCAGCAGCCTCTCTCAGAGTCATCGTATTCGTGGATGTTTCTGACTTTTTTTCTTAAATGCTAACCCATCACAGCTGGCAAATTTGGAGGATAAGACCCTTCTGAAAAACATTCCCAATCCTCAGTATTTTTCTCTACCCCCTCTTTTCTGTCATCCTTTTTCTTACCCCATAGCTTGCTCCTGCTGCTTCTTGCCTTAAGCACATTCCTGCACACTCCCCTTCAGCCAATCCCTTCCCAGCACACCAACACCATCCATGCCCTGTTGTCTAAATCCCTTCTGGACTTCCCTTCTTGCCCCCCTGGGTGTCCATGTCCTTAATTCCCTCTGGGAGAATGTGCAAACGACCTCCACATGCTCCCAAGGGACTCTTGAGAGATATTTTGGGGTCATCATCTCTTTGTCGAAAATGACTTTCTAACATTCACTTTCTCCCCACAATGGTCCCACCTGGACCCCACCTGTGCCCCCCCGGGCCTTGGCGCCCCCCTGGAGGGGAATTTGGGGAGGTGGGAGGGGGGAGCGCCAAGGCCGGGCCCCCCCGCGCTGTGGTGGCGGGAGCGGCTGCAGTGGGGAGCGAGTGCGGGCGGAAGCGGCCGAGAGCCCAGCGCTGCCCCAGGCCGAGCTGGCCCAGCTGCATCCGTGCCCCTGCGGTGGGATGCTGTGGGACTGGGGGGGAAGAGGGAGGCGGCAGTGGGTGCTGGGCCTGGGGGCAGGAGGAGAAGGGAAGGAGAAGCAGGGTTGAAGAACAAAATGGTCAAACGATGCCTGTAGGAGCAGAAGGTGGGATTGTGCAGGAGAAGGAGGAAGAGGAGTGTGAAGAAGAGTAGGGACACAGGAAGAGGAAGCGGTACAAGGTTCCACCCCTCTCTGTATCTGCAGCTCTCCCAGCCCCAGGAGTGTTGCACCCCCACATGCAGCAGATGACCGGGGAGGGAGATCCATGACTTTCACTGGGCTGAATCTTGGTGTTTCTGAGCTTTTTTCTGCTAAATGTTGGTACTTTGGTTTTTTGCAGGGGCTGAATCTTTCTCTTTTGGAGGGGGTTTTGGCTGAATCTTTATGTTTGGGGAGTTTTTGATCTGTGCTGTGATGTTTGGAGGATATTTGGGCTGAATGTTGTTTTTTTGGGGGGTTCTTACAGACACAAGTTGCCCAATGACTTCCTGAGATGAACTTGGGCAAGGAGGAACCCCCAGTCCAAGGCGGTCTCCTCTTGTTTTTTCCCCCAAACCAGGATTTTTCATTCCCAAACCGAGGCCAGATGGGGGAGAAGGAAAAGCTGTGGAGATGCCGCACAAGGAGGGGCTGCAAACCCAGCCCAGGGAGCTGCGAGGAAAAAGGACTCCCCCTCTCCTGGGAAGGCGACCAGAGATCCATCCGGAGCTCAGAGCAGGGGGAGAAGCCTCATGGTGTGGAGAAGCCCCACAAGTGCTTGGAATGTGGGAAGGATTTCAGCCACAGCTCTGGCCTGCTCCAGCACCAAAGTGTCCACACTGGGGAAAAGCCCTACAAGTGTGGGGAATGTGGGATGAGCTTCAGACGGAGCTCCTATCTGATCCGGCACCAGAGGATCCACACTGGGGAAAAGCCCTATGAATGTGGGGAATGTGGGAAGAGCTTCAGCCAGAGGTCCAACCTGAGGTATCACCAGAGGGTCCACACCGGGGAACGGCCCAATGAGTGTGGGGAATGTGGGATGAGCTTTAGCATGCTTTCCAGCCTGATATATCACCAGAGGGTTCACACTGGGGAAAAGCCCTACGAATGCAGGGAATGTGGGAAGAGCTTCAGGAACAGCTCCAGCCTGATCCAGCACCAGAGGATCCACAGTGGGGAACGGCCCTACACCTGCTTGGAATGTGGGAGAAGCTTCGGGCGGAGCTCCAGCCTTAGATATCACCAGCTCATCCACACTGGGGAGAGGCCCTACGAGTGTCCTGAATGTGGGAAGAGGTTTCAGACCACCTCCACTCTCATCAAACATGAGCGGATTCACACAGACGAGAGGCCCTTCCGCTGCCCCGACTGCGGGAAGGGCTTCAAGCAAAACTCCAACCTCACCGTCCACCGGCGCATCCACACTGGGGAGAGGCCCTACGAGTGTCCCCAGTGTGGGAAGAGCTTCTCACAGAGCTGTAACTTGACCCAACACCAACGGAGGCACCACTAAGGGAAGCCCTGTGAGTGCCCCGAGTGCGGGAAGAGCTTCGTGTGCTGCTCCAGCTCCATCCCCCATGGGAGGATCCCCAGTGACCCCTGTTGGGCAGAGCCCTGGTGATCCGTGTTGGGAAGACACCTGGCTGGGAGGCTCCACATCTTCCTGACTCCCTGTGAGCACCTGGATGAGCACAGGGGAGGAACATGCATTGGGACACAGACCAACAATGGGAATTCCTTGGGGAGAGCGGATTTGTTGACTTTCAATCCTAGAGAACCTTTTGCTCCTGCCTCAGGAGCTCTGTTGGCAGAGAAAAGGGCATGACACCAGACTGGGGGAAGCACACACACTCTGTGGGAGGGAGACACGAGCCCCGGGACCCCTCCTCACCTTCTTGCACAGTCAGAAGGTGAACCCCAGTGCCAGGAAGATGAAGCCCAACAAGGAGCCCCCAATCCCCGTCAGCATCTTGCTGTGGGTGTCATCCAAAGGCATGTCTGGGAGGTCTGCACGGGTCAGGATCCCCCCCAAAACCTCTCACAGATGCCCCAAGCCCCTCCAGGGATCCTCCCAGTCTCCCACAGCTCACCCAGGACCCTCTGAAACCTGCTTTGGAGTCACTAATTTTAAAATATGATGAATTAGAGAAAAATTAGAGATCTTAGCTAGAGACAGGCCTTGCTGGAACTAGTTAGTGTCAATGATTGAGTTAGAAGCAGAACTTGAGATAATCAATCTCAGTCTTAGGTAAAAAATTACTTGTCATTGTATGTTTGTTTAGATGTGCTTATAATGAGAAAAGAGAAACTGATGAACGTGTTCAGGAAGATCACAGACCTTACATCTGGAAACCCATTTAAAAGTGACAAGGGAGGAAACTGGAGTTGTACCAAATGTCATTTGTAATGTCAACCACTGTAAAGGTAGAAAGGTGAGAGTGAGGAAGAGCAGTTTTCCTTCATCTTTTGATGACCCCTCCTCACTAAAACGACCCCCTCCTCAAATTAGGGAGCCAACCACGCAGTCATCATGACTTCTTAATCTCATTACCATGCTTTTTAATCCAAGGTGGGGAATGGGAGGTGTTAGCATTGTGAATATGTATTAGTATTTTGAATATTCAAGACTTTTGTAAATAAATACACGCTGGAATCTTTTGTCAGGTTGCAGTGCGTATAAAGGGGATGACTCCCGCACTCGCCCAGTGCTGTGATTAAACATCCACTTTGTAACTTTAAACTGTTGGAGAGGTTTTTTGTCCATTAACAGATTGATGTTGATACTGGATCAATATTGCTATTTTGCTAAATCACTGCCAGTCTCTTTCCAGCCTCCCCAGGTCCCACCAGAGCCCCTCCTGTTCCTCTCAGGATCCCACAGCCCCCTCCCAATTCCTCCCCACTGCCCCAGGACCCCCAAACCCTCTCCTAGTCTCTTCCCAGTGCAACCAACCTCATTCTAATCCCTGATTTCCAATCTCCTTCCAGCTCCTCCAGGCTCACTCAAATCCCTCCCAGTGACACCCAGCACCCCCAAACTCCCTTCCAGTGTCCACCAGGACCCCCAGAACCCCATCCCACCCTCCCCATCATCCTTCAAACCCCTTCCCAGCCATCCTAAGCACCTCAGTCCCTTCCCCAATCTAAACCAGGCCATCTCAAACTCCCTCCCAGTTCCTCCCAGCACACCCCAATCCCCNCTGGGGGGGGGGACCCCAAAGTCCCGGGAGAGACCCCAAAATACCGGGGGGGACCCCAAAATCCTGGGGGGGGACCCCAAAATACCAGGGGGGGAACCACAAAATACCAGGATGGGGACCCCAAAATCCCGGGATGGGGACCCCACAAAATACCGGGGGGAACCCCAAAAACCGGGATGGGGACCCTGAAATACCGGGGGGGGACCCCAAAATCCCGGGGGGGGGACCAAAAAATACCAGGGGGAGCCCCAAAACACCGGGGGGTGACCCCAACATCCTGGGGGGGGGAAACCACAAAAACCGGGGGTGACCCTAAAATACCGGGGGGGGACCCCAAAATACCGGGGGGGGACCCCAAAATCCCACGGGTGACCCCGAAATCCCAGGGGGGGGACCACAAAAACCGGGATGGGGACCCCAAAATACCGGGGGGGGACCCCAAAATCCCAGGGGTGACACCAAAATCTCTGGTGGGGACCCCAAAATCACTGGGGGGACCCCAAAAACCGGGGGTGACCCCAAAATCCTGGGGGGGGACCCCAAAAATGGGGGGATTTTGGGGTGGATTTGGGGTATTTTGGGGTCCCTGAATGGATTTTGGGGAGTCCCAGGGGGGATTTTGGGGTGGATTTGGGGGATTTTGGGGTCCCTGAGTGGATTTTGGGGGGTCCCAGGTGGGGTTTGGGGGTTCCGGGGGGATTCCCAGGAGTTTTTTGGGGGATTCTGAAGGTTCCTGGAGGGTTTTTGGAGGGAATTCTGGGGGTTCCCAGGAGATTTTGGGGGTTCCCAGAAGGGTTTTTGGGGGGATTTTGGGGTGGTTTGAGAGAATTTTGGGGATTCCCAGGAGATTTTGGGGGTTTTGCGGAGTTTCTGGGGGGGTTCCCGGGAGGTTTAGGGAGGATTTTGGGGGTTCCCGGGAGTTTTTGGGGAATTTTGGGGGGTTCCCGGGAGTTTTGGGAGGATTTTGGGGGTTCCCCGGGCCCCCCGGACTCACCCGACACCACCATGGCCTCGTTGGGGCCGCAGGTGAAGAACATCGCGGCGGGGGAGCCCCGGGGATCGATCGGGATCGATCGGAACCGATCGGGATCAATCGCCACCCGCGACCGCCGCCCCAATCCCGGCAGCCCCCGCGTGCGCCACTCCCGCGGCGCGGTGACGTCACCCAAAACGCCGTTTCCTATTGGCTGTCGCGATAGGGGGCGGGAAGGCAAGGTCTAGTCTACCTGGCAACTCATGACGTCACTGATATCCCGGCGGTCTATTGGCTGCGCCGCGCCGGGCTCTGATTTCCGTGTTTTCCATGGAAAATGAACGATTTCAGATCGGGATGAACCGGGAGGGGAGTGACGGGGTCTGGGGAGCTCCAGAGCGTGGCCGGGTCGTGGGCAGCTCATGGTCATCGCATGGTCAGCTCATGGTCATCGCATGGTCACCTCGTGGTCATCTCACGGTCATCGCATGGTCAGCTCATGCTCAGCTCGTGGTCATCCCATGGTCATACATTGGTCATCTCATGGTCGTCTCATGGTCATACCATGGTCATCTCATGGTCAGCTCATGGTCATATTGTGGTCATCCCGTGGTCAGCTCAGGGTCATCCCATGGTCAGCTCATGGCCATCCCATGCTCAGCTCATGGTCATCTCATGGTCATCTCGTGGTCATCCCATGGTCATCTCATGGTGAGCTCAGGGTCGTCTCATGGCCATCTCATGGTCAGCTCGTGGTCATCTCATGGTCATCTCAGGGACATCCCACGGTCATCTCATGATCAGCTCAGGGTCATCTCATGGTCATCTCATTGTCATCAAAGAGTCAACTCATGGCCACATTCATACCATGGTCATCTCATAGCCATGGTTGTGTCATGGTCTGAATCATCTCATGGTCACGGTCATGTCCTGAGCACCAGCATCTCCTGCTCATGGTCAGCTCATGGTCAGGATCATGTTAAGGTCAAGGTCATGTCATGGTCATTTCTTGGTCGCAACAGCACACCCATGGTCAGCTCACAGTCATCGTAATGTCATGGTCACAGTCATGGACATTTCTTGATGACCTCATGGCCATGGCCGTGTCATTGACATCTCATGGCCACACTCCTCTCATGCTCATAGTCATGGGCATCTCACGGTCAACTCCTGGTCTCAATATCTCATGGCCATTGTCATCTCACAGTCATATTTGTGTCATCATCACAGTCATGGGCATTTCCTGATCACCATCATCTCATGCTCATGGATAACTTGCAGTCATGGTCATCTCATGATTGCCTCATGGTCATGGTCATCTTGTGGTCATGGTCATCTTCTTATCACCATCATCTCATCGTCGTGGTCACCCCATGGTCACAATCATTTCATAGCCACAGTCATCTTGTGGTCACCTCATGGTCATCTCTTAATCCAAATCATCTCATGCTCACGCTTGTGTCATGGTCATTGCATGGTCATGGTCATCTCATGGCCTCAATCACCTCATACCACAGGTGTGTCATGGTCATCTCATGGTCATTTCATGGCTATCTCATGGTCACCTCATGACCACAATCACATCACGGTCATCTTACAGTCGTGGTTGTGGCACAGTCATGGTTATTCCATGGTCGTGGTCATCTCACCGTAATGACCATCTCATGGTCTTGATCACCACATGGCCATGGTGTGCTGTGGTCATCTCTTGGTCACAATCACCACATGCTCACGGTCATCTCATGGTCATCTCCTGCTCATGGTCATCTCATTGTTACCTCATGGTCATCTCATGGTCAACTCGTGGCCACAATCACATCATGGTCACCTCACAGCTGTGGTTGTGTCATGGCCATGGTTATCTCTTGGTCAACTCATAGTCAGGATCATGTCATGATCTCGATCATTTCATGGTTGTGGTTGCATTATGGTCACAGACATGGTCATCTCATGGCCTTGACCACCACATGGCCATGCTTGCGTTGTGGTCATATCTCGATCACAGTCATCACATGCTCATGGTCACCCCATGGTCATGGTTGTGTCATTGTCATGTTCAGGGTCATCTCACTGTAATGGTCATCTTATTATCATGGGTGTGTCATGGTCAAGATAATCTCACAATCTTCTCATGGTCACCTCATGGTCACCGTCATCTCACTGTAAGGTTCATCTCACAGTCACCTCATGATCATGGTCACACATGGCCATGGTGTGTTGTGATCATCTCATGCTCATCTCTTGGTCACAATCATCTCATGCTCATGGTCACCTCACAGTCATGGTCATCTCATTGGAATGGTCATCCCATGACCATGGTCATTCCATGGCCATGCTTGTGTCATGGTCACAGTCATGGTCATTCCATGGTTCTGGTCATTTTATGATCATCTCATGATCAACTCATTTGCCACCATCTTATCATGGTCATCTCTCAGTGGTGGTTGGGTCATGATCACCGTTATCTCATGATCACAGTCATCTCATGGCCATCTCATGGTCACGGTCATGTCCTGAGCACCAGCATCTCCTGCTCGTGGTCACGATCACGTTACGGTCATGATTGTGTCATTGTCATTTCTTGGTTGCAACAGGGCGCCCATGTTCATGATCAGCTCACACTCATCATCGTGTCATGGTCACCGTCATGGACATTTCTTGATGACCTCATGGCCATGGCTGTGTCATGGTCATCTCATGGTCACAGTGCTCTCATGGTCATAGTCATGGTCATCTCATGGTCATCTCTTGGTCTCAATATCTCATGTTTCTGGTCATCTCACAGTCGTAGTTGCGCCATCATCCCAGTCATGGTCATTTCCTGATCATGATCATCTCATGCTCATGATCCATTCATGGTCAGTTCACTCTAAGCTAATGGTCATCTCACGGTCATTTCATGGTCATGTCATGGTCAGCTCATGGTCATCTCATGGTTATCTCATGGTCATCCCATGGTAATCTCGTGGTCATCTCTTGGTTGCAGTCATCACATGCTCAAAGTAATCTCACATTCATGGTCATTTCATTGCAATAGTCCATGACCATGGCTGTGTCATGGCCACAGTCCAAGTCATTGCATGCTCATGGCCATCTCATGCTCATGGCCATCTCATGCTCATGGTCATCTCACGGTCACATTCACATCATCGTCATCTCACGGTCAACTCATGGCCAACCATAACATGGTCATTTCATGGTTGTGGTTGTGTCATGGTCATGGTCATCTCATGGTCACAGTCATTTCCTGACCACCATCATCTCATGGTCATCTCACAATCACCGCATGGTCATGATCATCTCACAGCCATGGTCATGTCATGGTCATGTCATAGTCATGTCACGGCCATGATTCTGTTTTGGTCTTCTCATGCTCAAGGTCATCTCACTGTAATGGTCATGTCCCAGTGACCTCATGATCATGGTCACACATGGTCTCTGATGGTCATCTCTTGGTCACAGTCATTTCATGCTCATGGTCACCTCATAGTCATGGTCATCTCATTGTAATGGTCATTCCATGGTTGTGGTCATCTCATGGTCAGTCATCTCATGGCCATTTCATGG